GCTGACGGTTTAACTAAGGAATATTTAGATACTGCGATAGAATGGATGCCTGGAATGAAAGATATATGTTTCAAGGATCTTCCAAGCTATGTTAGAACAACGGACTCGAATGACGGGATGCTTGATGTTATCCTCAAAGCAACGTCCGGCCACTTTAAGGCTTCGGCTATGATTTTCAACACATTTGAATCATTGGAAGAAGACGCTTTGGATACTATGTCGTCGATCATCGATCCTTTTCCTGTTTACAGCATTAGTCCTCTTCACTTACTCGCTGATCAGATCGAGGACAATAGACTGAAACACATCGATTCAAATTTGTGGGTCGAACAATCTGAATGTGTCAAGTGGCTCGATTCTAAAGAACCAGAATCCGTAATCTACGTGAATTTCGGAAGTATGGCAGTGATGAGTCCTCACCAGTTGATCGAAATTGCTTGGGGTCTAGCTAATAGCAAGCAGCCATTTTTGTGGATCATTAGGCCCAATCTCGTTGAGGGTAACGCGGCAATTTTACCACCTGAATTCGTAGTCGAAACCAAAGATCGAGGGCTATTAGCGAGCTGGTGTCGACAAGAAGAAGTGCTTAAGCACCCATCGGTAGGAGGATTCTTATCTCACATGGGATGGAATTCAACGATCGAGAGTATTTCCGCCAGTGTGCCGATGCTTTGTTTGCCGAATTTCGCGGACCAGCAAACAAACACATGGTTGGCTTGCACGAAGCTCGGCATCGGCATGGAGATCGATGAAGACGTAAAGAGAGATCAAGTGGAGATGCTTGTCAGGGAGTTACTGGCGGGAGAAAAGGGTATCGAAATGAAAGCAAAGGCCATCGAATTGAGGAGAAAGTGAAGGAGGCTTCCGATGACGGCAGTTCTTCTTCCCAGAACTTGGATAACCTGTTAACCGAAGCTCTTGGCGATCCGATTGTGTGACATTAATATATATGCTGATACTTGTTATTGCTTTTGTCTGAATTGGGTGCAGGACAAGTGTGTTTGTGCATTATGTTGTTGTAATGACGACTATCGGATAGAGAAAATCAATTGATAATTTGAGAAAATAAAAATGAAGATAAAAAGAGACAAAATTTACGTGGAAAATTTGTCTGATTGGGGTGCAGGACAAGTGTGTTGTGCATTATGTTGTTGTAATGGTCCATTGGATTGTATTTCAGCTCTCCTCTGTGGAATTGGTCATGAGGTGGTTGCAGAAGACGACTATCGGATAGAGAAAAATCGCAATTGATAATTGAGAAAATAAAAATGAAGATAAAAGAGACAAATTTACGGGAAAATACCTAAATATAAGGTAAAATCACGGCAACGGAGAGAATTTCACTATGAGAAAATAGGAATTACAATCTCTCTCGATCTAACAAGGAAAAAAACATGATAATTCTCTCTTGATAAAAAGAGAAAACAACCCTCAAGAAACTCTCTAAATTCTCTAGTATTGGGAGAAAATTAGAATGATTTAGGGTGATTTTGAAGCTAAATGAGCTAGGGTATTTATAGTTGAAGCTTAAGGATTAATCTTATAAATACCCTAAAGTACAATGACTAAATTGAATAATTTACCCTTTACTAAAATTCAACAAAATCATCTTTTTTTTGAACAATTTCTATTCGGTGGATTTTACTTTCAACAAAATCAAGAGAACAAGCATATGCAGTTTTCTACTGAAACTCTTCAGAAGTTCATTTATTTATTTTTAAATAATAATAACTGAAGTTTTTAGAATGTTCTAATATAAATTATTCCTAATTATAAGTGGTCACCAGAGCTCCACGGTACAAAAAGAACAAAGGAAGAAGAAACAAGGGCAGGCCCACGAGAAGGAAAAAGAACCGAAGGAGCTTATCCAATGAGTAAAGAAAAAAGGGAGAATGATATCTCCTACCGATCTGAATATTGGTAATCAACTTACTTTTCAAACTAATAGAGATTATGTATATATCTTCTTATATGAACCAACAGCTAGCGGTTGTGCTTTAGAATTTTAATGAAGTTTCCAGTATTAACGGATTGAACTAAAACTTATAATGTACAAATTGAAGGTACATCACACAATTTTAATTATAATCAATATTGTAAAAATTAGACCCAAGATCCAATACGCGATTTGATTTACGGTTCACAGCCAGAGAAATGTGGCTTTTAACAGTAATACTACTATGGTGTAAAATTGAAAATGTAGCTAACCATGGTGTCTACATTTACATCAAGAGCCCTATTCAAATGTTTTCTCTCTTGGATGGAAGGGACAGTAACTGTAAGAACGAAACCAGTGGCAATTCCATATCCGAACTGACGACCGAAAACTGTCATTCCTTCATCCCTTTAGATTCATCAATGGCGTCATGTTGAACCGGTCATGGAACATATGTTCCACCACAAAGTCCGCTGTTCCCTTCGAAGCTTGAATGTGGAAAATCCATGAACTGACCTCCCATGGGAATTTCCCCATGGAGCTCATTATACGCCACGCTGAACTTCGACAGAAAACTCAGCTCCGCGAGCGAAACCAGGTACGTTTCCGGACAATCTGTTATGCGACAAATCCAGAACTTCCAAACTTTTCATCCCCGACAGACTCTCTGGTATCGATCCTGTCAACCGGTTCTCATTTAGGTTCAACACATGAAGCCTTATCAAATCCCCAGAATTCTGGGGAATAGGGATATTTATATACAATTTCCGTATAGAATACATATTCAAACATGACTTACAAAACATATTTTATACAATGAAACCAATTTTGATGGGTGGGCTAGAAATGTTTTAAATTAGGTTTAAGCCAAGAGATTCGAAGACGCTTCAAAACATGACGTAGAATCTATCGAAACTGAACAACTCAAGGAGCTCAATAAGATATCAGATTCGAGTCTTGTGGACCAAGGAAACAACATTCGGAGATTTTGCCCCTCCCCTCTCGGTTTAGGGTCTTAGCTCAATCTAAGATTTAGTCATTGCCCAACGTGACTACCGGATATCAGACACTCAAACCAAAAAAGGAAAAGTACAAACAATTGCATTGCACAGATCGCTGGACCAAAAGCTCATGGATGAACTTCTGGTAAGAACAAGGGAGCGAGAGAGATCAAAACTTCATTGCTAGCGGTTCATATTTGCAAATATGCATATCCGCAATCTCAGTTGTCATCACTATGAGAGATTTGCCTCCGAGATGCTCTCCAATATCAAAGCATATAAGTATCAAACAACAGAGCTTTCTCATTTCTCATAGGCCATATAAAACTATCCGAAGTTCGGTTTCCATGGACGAAATGGAACAGAATACATGGTTCGGTATTCCTTACATCCATCAATCATACAAATTTTAGATTAAACATCATGAGAATCTCTATCATGATTCATATAGGTAAAGACTGACCTAATTGTAAACTAAATCGTTCAGTTCAAGACCAGAGTCCATCTCCGAATTTTTGAACTTCACCTCAAAACAACTGCAGCCTTCCTTAAAGCCAGATACCTTTGCACATATTCATTTGGAAGAGATCTCACAAGCTTGAAAACATCGGCATTGGCATAGCGAAGATTCGTCCTTGGATCTTGGTATGGTGCCTGCACAACAATTTGTTAATTGTTCTTTATTATGTTCAAGAAATTGAAATGATCTATTCAAGTCACAATTAGCTAGAATTCGACTCAGCAAAACGAGTAAGTTGGGGATCATATTGCAAGTGTCAAGCGCGGATACTTAAAGAAAAATAAAGAATCGGATCAACATGAGTCGAAAGCTTAAAGCATATGTTCTGAAAAAAAAAAAATCAAAAGTTTCAACTTTCAAGTGATTAATTCAGTTAGCCACAAACCTCAAATCCTGTAATATCACAAATTCTTTTACACGGCTGCATCGAAGGCGGTGATTCGATATTAACATCTGCAAAATACAATTTTTTTTTAAAAAAAAGGCATTGCTTTATCACCGTTGACCATTACAAAAAGGATATTAAAACAAAAACATAACTTTTAAACATGGAATTCCTCTTAAAAGAACACCGTATAAAGATTTCAATCAAGGCTTTGGACTATGCAATTATGTAGGAATTTCAATGAAACAACTCAAAAACAGCAATATTCATCCGAAAGAGGCTTACAATTGGGTTCATCGGGATCGTAATTCTGGTAATTTTCAGCTTGGATGATCTGCTTGAGCTGTTTCCACCTAACTTTCGATTGGCCCTTTGGGTATTTCTCATACGTTTGTACCCTCTTGAAACTCATATGCGTTGGCAATACCAACTCTGCTTTTATCACCTCTGCCTCCATTGATTTCCCAATATTCTCAAATCCCTAAATGATCCCAAAGCTCCCAAATGAAATTGGGGAAGAGAAAGTTGAGATTTTGGTCTTGAATCTGAAGTAAAACCCTATAATCAATTTTTTTTGTATGGAGGGATACCAAACGATGTCGTGTTGGGCCACTCATCATTTATATCCATACTACTATTCATATTAATTATTTAGTTCTTTTAATTAAAATTCTACATTTGTCTTATATTTTATTTAAAACTAAATATTAGATAAAATCTGATTATTTTTATTAACTAAATAATTTAAAGAGTCTAAAGTATCTGTTTATTTTGAAGCATTTTTCAAAAAGAAAAAGAAGAAGGATACATCTTAAATATTAGTGGAGATTAGTATTTTAAAATATTGGACTTTAGATGAATTTTTTTTGTTGATTTTAATTGAGTTTCAAGAAAAATTAATCTAAATAAAAAAATAAAAAAAAATATAAACATTTCAATATCGATTTTACTACAAATGACGATCAATGATATATTAATTAATATATAAAATTAATATTTAACTTAAAATATTTTAAGTGATCAATCAATAAACAAAATAATTCAAAAGCTAATGGATAGTTATCCCAAAAATAACAATTAAACCTATTCCTTATACATGAGTAGACGACGTCGGATCTTTGTACTGATTTTTTTTTAAGTCATAAAGAAACACGACATTGTTTGAAGCAGTCAAGAAGAGAAAGATCATCAAATCACAATCCATTACTTCACTGGTACAAGTTTAAAATACTTGGTTTTATCTTTTCCAGGTTCTGTTTAAACCAATAAGCTTCTTTCTCTTTCATTATGGTTCAACTCCCTCAAGCCCTCTCTGGTTTTCCCTCAGTTCTCTACTTCTCCATGTAAAAGATCCAATATTTTTTCCAGAATTTTTAAAGATCATCCAGAGATTTTGTTCTCAGGTAATTGAATTATGATTTTGATCACTAAAAGAAATAACCCTTTCAATGATTTTTCTTGATTGTTGCTTAGAAGACAAAAAATGACTGAAAAGTTCAAAACTTTTTTCAGTTTGATTGTTCTATTAAGCTTGGAGTTGAGGTTTTAAGTTGATCTTTTGATTGTGGTTGAGAATTATTTCTGGGTTTTCCTTGAATTTTAACTGTGTATGAATTTTACCGAATTTATTGGTTAATTGTGATTGTACTTAGGAAGTTACAGGCATGAGGAGCTTAATTCTTCAATTTGAGTACTTAGCAGAAGATCTGTGTTGGTATTTTCTCGAGGCTTTCGACATTGTTGCTGAGGACTTGATTGTGTTCTTCCAGGTGTTAATTTCGATCCTTGAGAACTTGATTCATCCCCTGTTTTGCCTCATCTTTATTGCCTAGATAGTTGACAACTTTGGATTGGATATCGAAAGCTTTATTCGAGTTATAAATCGAAGTTTTGAGTTCTTTTCGATCATTATAAAAGCTTGCTCTGAGAGCTTTGTACATCTCTTGTTTTGCCTCATCTTGATTGCCTTTAGTGTTGATAACTTTCGGATTTTCAAAATCGAAACCTTATTCGTGTTGGAAGTTGAAGATTTGAGCTCCAATGGGATCAATTCGGAATACTGTTCAGTATTGTTGTGTTTCGAAGGATGATAGGATTCTATATGAATACAGCGTGGGAGATCATGAGGTTGAAAGGATGGCTGCCTTGTGTTTGGAACGGATCCCCTCGTTCCACAAATGGTATTTCGAGACGATAGGTAAACAGACTTTTGGGTTTTTGTTCGAAGATGGGTGTGTTTATTTCGCGATTGCCGATGATGCCGTTGAAAACCATGGTGTGCTTCGGTTTCTAGAGCACATAAGAGATGAATTTAGAAATGTAACTAGGAAGGGTTCGAGAAGTAGTTTCTCGAGTATGAGTTCGATGGGTGTCGAAGAGCAACTAGTGCCGGTTATCCGGAGCTTAATAGCTTCGTTGGAACAAGTTTCGGATAGTGGCAATGATTGGAAAACTGAGATTCCGTCATCTCCAAGCAATGCAAATGCCCAACTCGAAGCTGTTAGTTCCACAAAATCCCCTTTGTTGGGAAAACCGAGCAAGCAAGAGAAGAAGAATAAGGATCGTGTGATCGCGGTGAGAGATATCGAGTTGGAGGAGCCTCGGAAATCAACTGATAGAGGAGTAAAAACCGATCCAACTGCATTAGATTCGAATAACCAAAACGGAGCAAGTTCGTCCAACACATTACCGAAGGACTTGGATTCGACGAGGATCAGACCCGGATCTCAGAACATCCGTAAAAAATGGTGCCGCCAAGTCCGTATCATTCTCGCTGTAGATGCAGCTTTTTGTTTATTACTGCTAGTGGTTTGGTTGTCAATCTGTAAGGGCTTATCGTGCACACGATAATGATTCCGATTCAATGCTAACATTCGAAGTTTCATTCTACAGACCAGAGATCGAGAACCAGTCCGAATTTCGAGCCAATGGCATTAGCTGTTGAGAATCCTCTGTATAGTTTCATAGTTTTAGTGCTTATGCACATCATATAATCATATTGCTATGAGTGTCTCTTACATCATGTTCTTGCACCATATTGCGGATTCAAATGATGTCGGTATGCTTTGACATGATGTATACTCTTCCAGTTTTTCTTAGTTTTTAGGATATGATCATACTTCATATCTGAATATTTGTCAAACACAAACATTTTTTTTTTTTGAAGAAATTGAGAGGCTAATTGATATTACCATTTGCTTTAAAAGTAAAATTGTGGAACATTTACAACAGGCATATATGTAATTAGCCCCATTGGATTGCACAAAACACTACTACCACCCAGCTCAATAGATTATGTTATTCCGATCTTTCGTATATTTCCTATAAGTACCTAATCCGAGCACCATAACTCAACATACTGAACTCCAAGAGAGTGGGATTAGTTTCTCTCACCAATGTGTGCACTGCTGGTTCTGAAGAAGCAAATTAACCTTGAACCTACTTCTCGAATGCTCGTGAAGGATCTGAATTCACTCAGTAGCCTTCACTTTATCATCCCCGACAACCGAGAGTATAGGCAAACTACCGAAAAATTCATCTAGACCCTCGAAAAAGCCATTCCCTTCATTGTTATCCTCCTTGATTCCAGCGTTACTCCTCCCTCCGACAAGCTCTTCCGCCTCGTTCCTAAACTCTACGTTCAAATCCAACTTCCCCAAAACCTTCATTCCTCGTTTCATCTGCTTCCTTCCACTATTTGTCACCCCCATTCTGCTCGACTCACTTGGCACACCCTCGGGCGCCATAGACACACCACTCAGGTTCCCACCATAATCCGCATTAACTTGTTCATTACACCCCTTGTAACCCCCAGACCGATGCGGGTAACCAGATCCGATCCGCGGTGTCACATTTGGGCCACCGGAGCGACCCACTGTAAAAATAGCGGAAAATTTAAAACTTTTATTGAAACGTGTAACTTATAAAATCAGTTGTCACTATTTAAAAATAAAACATATTTCAAGATTCGTATATAAATCAAAATACAATTACATGCCCCCTAATCACATGTATCATACTCTGCAACAACGCCGGAAGAACTCCCTTACTGAAGGCGATAGATGCACTGGTACAATTCTTTTAACCTGCAATGTTGAGTAATAAAGTAAGCTTCGGAAAGCTCAGTAATTCAGAACTACCAGATGATGCTGATGAACGTACAGATACAGATAAATATATACTTCCTTATTGTTTCTGAATATTTACAGATTTTTATGTTGAGCAGAGATCCTACTGATATTTCAGGTGGTAACGGACAATGAGCTTTCAGTTCAGACAAATATTTCGGATGACTGAGTTCATGAGATCAGAATAGGTTATCTAGTGTGTTCCCGTAAAACCAGTAAAAAGATACAGATCTTTTAAAACATATATATATATATATATATATACCCCATCCCATCCCATCAGAATGTGTAGGTTCCCCAGAACCATACACCCAACCCAACACATCATATAAGACCCTGAGCACAAAGCCGAAGAACCTGCGGAACTTCTTCCTTCAACAATACCCCCAATTAAAACATTTTTCCGTTATTAAACGGAGATATCAGAAATCAAAACAGAATTCAGAACAGATATCTGAACAGAATCCAGATCAGAAATCAGAACAGAATTCAGGTCATGTATCAGAACAGAATTCAAGTCGTAAATCATATAAAATAATTATATGATTAGGGAACACACCAGAGTTTACAAATATTATTCAGAGGTACTGGATAATCTTAGCAAGTAGAGAAACACGGATTTTCAGTATACCGATAGAATGGCGGAATTTACAATCACTATTGTAAAAAGTTCAATAACTGACGGAATTATCAGTTATTCAAAATGCGAATTATTAGGATCATATCTTATTCGGACAATTTTCAGAAGTTGTACGTAATCAGAAGGGTATTCAAAATCCTTTACATCCATGTCAATTGATCGGATAATCGAACAACTTGAGAATGAAGATTCAGAACCTTAACAATTTATGTCCACTTGTCAATTCATTTTCTTTCCAGGGTATTTACTTTTTAATACCACAAATTCTTGTTCATAGATCATCTTCAGAATCATCGCTGAATAGATCTTCCAATGATCTTTATTTCATTTCCAAACTTCCACGATATCATGAAATACTGACGTGCTTGATTTTTAGTTCATGTTCCATAAGGACAGTACATCTTATAAACTCATCAGAATTTCCAGACTTATCCAATTCACTTACTTAATCCTCAATCATTGAGGTTACTTAGCTTATTTAGCAGTCAAGTCCATTCCAGTTACTTCAGGGTTTTTCAGAGTAATACAAACGTTCCTGTATTTCATATATATATTGTACTTCAGATCCATTCAATTTGGTCTTCTTGGTTGATTTCTCTAACGAATATTTATTTCTTAGTACCGGATGTGATCCAGAGTTGAGCTGAGTACTTTCAAAATTATCATCGAACCACACTTGAGAAGACGAACACACATTCAAGAAACATCTATGTCGTTCAGGTACTGACATATCTTTAAGATTGATCAACTTACTTAAGTTGTGATCTATAACTTCTAAAGGTAGTTCAACACCTATACTTATTTGGATTCCTTAATTAATCCAAGGCATTTACTTAGAATAGGACACAAGGGTATTTTGGTAATTTTGGTGTTCATTTTTATTCCATTTATTTCAGAGCTCGAAGATATCCAATCATTCTTGAGCTTAGTGGTATTCTTGGGTCATTTCCATTACAGGAGTATTTTGGTCATTTTACAGATTCATCGTATTTCAATCATTTCCTTCCGTCTGATCTTACTATTAAATTCAATCTTATCATTTATTTCAGTCCTTTCGAACAATTATGACAACAGAACACCCCGACAAATTATTCTTCAGGTATTTACTCATAACTCGGATATTTCTGGGTCAAGTGTCTTATCAGATTTTACAAACGGAATATCATGAATTTTCCTGAACTAAGTCAAGATCTTAACAATCAAATTCGTACTTAATCGAGTTAAGTACGAATCCTCAAAGTATTTTCTCATTCAGGGTCAACTCAAACTATTCTACCTCTTAAGGGCATTTTCGTAATTTCTTAACCAAATAATTTCGATATTAGCTCTTAAAGAAAATAATATAATTTAGAGATCCTATGATTAATTACTTTCTTGAACAGTCTCTGATCTTGAAACGGTTCTCTTAACAGACTTCTAGTATCCTTCACAAACTCTCTTAGGATTAAAATTGATTATCCATAATTTCCAAATAAAACTAACATTTCTTATGCACATCAATATTTTTATCAGATCAATATGTCTGTAAAATCCTCTTATCTAACTTCCATATTCAAATCTTGTCTTTTTATAACATAAGGGTATTTTCATAATTTTACCCTACCGGAATATTCTCATAATTTCTCATCCAAGTACCTCTAACATTTAACCTTTGATGAAATAAATTATAAGTTGCATATACAGGGTTGGTTTGTTTATCACTAATCACAAACTTGTAATTTAATCTAACAATTCATCAATCTCTTATATTAGTCATTCGATCCGTAATTAGTTACAGAATTTCTACCACATCATATCGAGTGTATAAATTATTCAACTCCACCAAAGTGACCAACATTATCTTGTTCATGCATTTATCAATTTAAACATGTTCCATAAAGCATAAAGAGGTAGTAATGTATTATCTCAATTTTCGTGTCATACTGATCGACCATTTAAATTCCATTCAAACGTCCTCGATCTTGAAATCAACTTCCAATAATTTCCTCACGATCCATGCCATCAAAATCACTAACTCATATCCAAATAATTTCCCTCGCCATAAAGTTAGCTTATTAGAATTTAAATAATAATTTGAAGACTCAATTGGTAAAACTAAAAACTAATGATGCTATCAAAATATTTAATTACTTAAATTAGGGATTAAATTGATCTTATAGAAACTATTGTGTCATAACTATAACCACTTGGAAACAAATAGACAAGGTAAAGATCTCACCAAACTTGGGTGACTCACCTTGTGATTTTCCATGTTTTTCACTTTATCAATATTTTCAAAACCCACGTGCTCTCTGAACTAAATTTTCATTTCTTATTTTCCCACTTTGTTTCATTCTCTTCTCCAGAAAGCTAACAAACGAGCTGCTCATTCAACCGATCTCTGACCACCGTTGATCGTTGGAGACCCCCCACGCAGACCACCTTAATCAATCGCCAATCAAGACCTAAACTCGTCTAGCTTTCCTCATCACAGATATGGCCTTTGTTCACCAAGAATCATGATGAATGATAGTCGATTTAACAAAAATCGTTTGGGTTCCTTAATTCCCTCCTTGCGATTGAATAACTCGGCCCATCTCCATCCTTCAATCCCATCACGACATATGCTTGAAATCGTCGGACCAAGTTGAGTATTTTCTCAAAGATTTCCTCGATCTTTGAACGTGTTTTGTGGAGTGTCCATCCCTCAATCAAGATGCAGGTAGATATTTTGATGCAACCGGAAATACCACCTTCCTTTTTGGACACAATCCTGAGAACAAAATCCTTGATAACATCCTCGGCATCATAGGCAAGCTCTCTAATTTCAGCAACTGAAAGACGAATCCCCTCGTTCTCATGTTGTTTAACATCATTCTCCAACAATAAACTTTGCTTCCACTTGAGCTCAGTTAGCAAACCATCAACTTGCTCTTCCACGCCCTAAAGGTAGACTGCTTCGTCTGCTAGCAGCTTGCCGATTGCTTTCACTGCAGAGGACGCAACTGACTAAGCCATGATACTGAACTCTTCTCAGACTGGGAAAAGAAGCAAATTCTCATAAAACAATTGGAAATTAGAGCTCAAATGTGTTACCAAGAGGCTGTCGTATTTGTTTTCTCAACAAAGAAACAAGTTGTGAATAAAATAAAATTCCTCTTAGCTGGAAAACAATGGATTCCATAGTGGCCATGCATTATCCTTAATAAAAAAAATATATCTCTAATTGAATGGCCATCAATTTGCTTAATAATAATAGTATAATAACACAATCATTTTTTCCAATCGACTTATAACATTTCACATTTTTTTAAATTGAAAAAAAAATCTAACCCCATATTGGGTATTACACCCCTGATTCACTCTCTCACTCTCTGGTTTCTTCGCACTTTTCCCCCGAGATTCTTCCCTTTGGTATTGCTCACCTTTTTCCTCTGTTTTGAAAATCGGATCCGCCGGTTCAACCGGAACCGTTGCTTAGTCCGGTTCAATCTAAACCGATTGAATTGCTATTAGTGAACCGGCCAGAACTGTTGAACCGTTCGAACCGGACCGACTGAAAATCGGGATTTTTTTTTAAAAAAAATTAAACCAAACAACGTCGTTTGTTAAACGAGCCAAGTCGAACTCGAGTATTACTGAGCTCAACTCGAACTTGAAAACTTTAAAAGTAAGCTCAACTCAACTCAAACTCACAAGCTAAAAATTATCAAGTTCAACTTAAACTCGAAATATAATATTGAAACTTGAACTCAAAAAAAATTTAGAAGCTCGATTGAAGCCTAAAATTCGAGCTTGATTGAAGTGAAAGAATAGTTCACTCAATGCTCACCAAGAGGCTCCATGATTTTGAATGTCAAATTACCTCTATTATTTATAGAAGTTAGTTGTGATGCGCTTCTATATTTCTTAGCAATGTGTGATTGTTTTGTTCTCATATTTTTACTCTTTAGACTTTTTGAGATGCTCTTCTATGTTTCTTAGCCATGTGAGATTGTTTTTAAAAAAAAATTAAACCAAACAATATCATTTTGTTATGATTTTTTTAACCTAAAATTTATTTATTAATTATAGTTATATAATTATATTTATTATTTAATATGTTTTACCTTAAATATTATGTTGTAGTTAATTTGAATCATTTTGTTTTATTTGATTTTATGGTTTTTAACTTATATATATTATGACTTGCTTTGAATATGACTTATGATATAAAAAATTATTTTTTATTAAATATTTTTGATATTTTTATTTAATTTTTTAAATAATTATGATGTCATCTGGTTCTTCCGACCGGTCGGATCGATTCGACTTATTGAACCAGTGAACCGGTAACATGATCGGTTCTGAAAACATGCCTTTTTTTCCCTCTTTTCATTTCTCCAGTCTTCATCGTCGTCATCAGAACTCACACTCGAATCAGATATCTCCACATATGTATCTCGTTCATCATAAAATACCCTCGGAGCAGACTTTTTGGGAATCTTTTGTTTTCCATCATTCTTGTTGTCAGGGCAAGCAAACATGGTCGAAATAGGTGACCAACTAGGAAAATTACCAGTGCGCTCTATCGGAAAAAAGCCACAGCAGCGGAAATTCGGGTCATTTCCATTCACTGGTGGTGATGGTATCGCAACTGCGTGGTAAGCTCTCCTGCAGTTCTTAGCCTGAAACCTTAGCGTGTAATCCTCGTTTACCTTCGGATACTCGTAAAGAACGTAACAGTATGGACAAGCAGTCGAGAAAGTTGGTCACGCTTACTCGGTAGATTGACTAGCTTGAGTCAAATAGGTATTCAGACTCACACCACTTGGCTCTGTCTCAAGAGACGGTATCACAGCCGCCTGAAAAGTTTTCCTGCAGTCCTTAGTCTGACACCTTAGTGTCCCATTCTCGTAGACCTTCGGATACTCGAAACATGAGTAACAGTGCGGACGAGCGGTCCAGAAAGTTAATCCTTCTGACTGAGTAGATTGACTAGCCAGAGTCGAATCGTTCTTCGGTCCTTCTGACAGAGTAGATAGACTAGCCGGAGTCGAATCGTTCTCCGGTCCCTCTGACTGAGTAGCTTGACTAGCCCGAGTGGCACCAGTTGGTTGTGTTGTGTCTGACTATGCTTCTTAGTAGGAGCAGGAGTTGCCGAGTGATTAATCTGACCTGATTGAGTTGGCTCAATCCGACTATACTCTGTCTGATTAATCTGGCTGACCCCGATGGGCTCTGATCGATTAGTCTGGCTCGAAGGTGTAGGCTCAGCCAACTAATATGGTTCGCACAAACTGATATTGTCTGATGAATCTGACGGCTGAGTTAAACCTTTCTGATTAATCTGCCTCGTCCAATTTGATCCAGCAGAATAATTATGTAAACACAATTGCTCTCCTTTTAACGCGTCCTTTCCATCCTTGTTTTTTCTAGGGCTTCTCACAAAAAGTGATTGTGTTTCTTTCAGCGGCGTTTGCATAAACAGCGTCTGCGGTTGTTGATGCTGATAATGTTGCTGTCCAAGTGGATTCACATGACCAAACTGCAGGAACCTCAACTCATCATCATAAACAAGCTTCTTAGAAGGATTCAACAACACATTCCAAGCTTCCGAAACGCCTGATCTGCGAAAGAGAGTATGTTCTTCCCAGGATTCAGCAGAATCGCCAGTTTCCTATACTGAATCTCAACGAGTTCCATGGACTGAGTTAACGGAACCAGTTGGAGGATGCCGTACCAGTCACGAGGGTTAGCTTGGGCGGTTAAGAGAGTGTCGATGACGGCATGGATTTGGTCGGCGAGGACAGGACCATAGTATTAAACTGCGGCCTGCATCGTAACATTTTTAAGGTTACCGCGACGTAATATCACCGTATCTTGATGTTGCGGTAAAAAATCGTTACGTAACACCGCATCACACTATAAATTATGTCGCAATACGCTATAAATTACGCTACAACACCGCAATAAACTTTAAATTATCTAAAATATAAAATTACATAGAAGAATTGTTTTAATTTAATTCTTAAAACTAGATTATAAATATATATCATTAGTAATATTGTAATAGTTATTATTTAAATTTGAATTAATTAAATTATTTATTAATATTATTTTAAAATTAAATTAATTTAAATTTAAATTAAATTTTTCTCATATCTAAAATTAACGTGATTAATTTTAAATTAAATTTTTATATTAACATTAAATATCATTATTTATTATTATATAAATTTTGTATAAGAGAAGAATTCACTTTATAATACTATAATAGTATATGTATTTTATCTATTTATTATGAAACTATAAAATTTTATCTAATATATAATATAAAAAATAAATAAATAAATAATATTATAAATAAAATAAAAAAAGAATATATTCATTGACAAAATAAAAAAGTGATGGCGTGAGCGTGCAGAAATATAAACGTAGAAAAATAAATAATTGATAAGTATTATTACATAATTTAGGATCAACCAATACAAATAAATAAATAATATTATAAATAAAATAAAAAAGGAATATATTCCTTGATAGTATGTGTAAAAGACAAAAATAATAATAGTGTTGTTGACTTACCTAGATATCCTTACGATGATAATTCAGGTTTGTATAGAACAAATATATCACAAATAGAAGAAATGATGATGATAGAACTCATACGAAGATGAGAGAACACTTTTATGATTCATTTACAGGTTCATCATCATATAGTTTAGCTATACATGATAATGAAATTAGTTAATCATCTTATGGTTCTCATTCTTACCAATCAAATTTATGTTATCTACTTTACCTTGAACAAAATTCAAGTTATGGATTTTTTTGTCATTATTTATCATACAACATATTTTCTACCAATAATATATCTTATGATGCACATAATGTAATTTCTTCTTCACATGGAATAGGAAGGAATCAAAACCAAGACAATGACGAAGATAAAAATGCTTTAAATATGTGACGTCATTTATTTTTGTGGTGAACTAAAAGATATATAATTTTTATATTTGTAGTTATGTATTTTTTTTCTAAGTGGTGTAAAAGGAAAATTTTTATGTTACAATATAAATTTGATATGATTTTAGTGATATTGTTTATATGTTATTCATTAACATTATAATTTTTATTAGTCATTATCCAGTATGATCGAATTTTTATAGTTTATATTTGTTTTTAATAAATTTTTATCTATAAAATTAAATTTTTATTTTTAAAATAAAATATTAAAAGAATATATTAATATTAGTATATTAAAAGATAATAATAAAATATATAAATATAATATTTTAGATGTATTGTGATTTTTGAGGAAGATATTACGTCCGTAACAACTGTAACACGTTACGTAATATCCGCATCATTTGTAACTGTGACACCGCAATTGCATCCGCAATTGCAATTTGATATTATGGGACAGGTGTTGACTCTCGAGCTCGGATCGCGAAGGTTCTGGTTCTGTGAAAGTCACCTGAAGTGAGGAGCTTCGACGCTGCGTTCAGCCATGGCTCCGCCTCGGTGTTGCTGCCGTCGTCCATTTTCTCACCAGCCTTTCTCTCTATTTATTTATTTATTTATTTTTGGTGAAGGATGGCAACTATTTGTCTTACCAAAAAAAGATCAAGCTTGTAGTACGAGTGTTGGGGGTAGGTAAGGAAAAGTTAAAATGGTGGAGATATTCTTACAGCACTCGCTTGAACTTCAATTAGTCTGGGTTTAATTAGAGTAAATTATACTGTATTAGAATTATATTTAAGTAATTATGTTAGTTATCCATAAATCATCCTTGATTATATAATATTATTTTATTAAGTTTATTTATAAAATAAGCATATAATTAGAAAATACTTTTTTTATTAAGTTCTCCAACTATTAAAAGTTACAAAATGATCACCCAACTATTCATTATGTTTCAAACTCGTTCTTTTTCGTTAAGAAATTGACGATTGTCTATGCTAAACATTAACATGATGACTGAAATATGATAATCATTTGAGATTTTGATATCAGATTTAATCATATTAAGGTCAATAAGTTAATGTTCAACTTAGAATATCCTCAATTTTTTTAACAAGAAATGACGAGTTTGGAGAATAATAAATAGTCGGGTGATCATTTTGTAACTTTTAATAGTCAAGGGACTCAACAAGTCAACACTCCATAATTAAAGGATCATTTTGTAACTTTTAATAGTCAATAGACTTAATAAAATCATATCTTATAGTCGAAAGACCAATTGTGTACTTAACCCTTATTTTTAATGATTATTAAGATATTTGAAATCACATCATCAGATCAATCAACGTGATATTATTTGAAATTCCCTGTAAATGCTGCTCTAAAGCACTTAAATTTGCATAATAGTCCTCCTTTGAACAAAACAATTATGTTGATCGAATTCGAGAATAAGCATCGGATACAGATACTTGTCCGACATAAATTTATATGTAATGGTTTTGCACATATTTGTATGATCTTTGCCTCTTTGGAGGGACATGTCCAAATATAATTAGAACACGAATGTTAAACACATACCATAAAAGATATGCATGCATTAACTAGTATTATTCATAAGCCAAGATAAAGATCTTATTTTGATCCAAAAAGATATAAGGTCTTCAAGCCAGCATAGTTCCAAGCAACCAACAAAGACCATAAAAAGCCTAAACCAAAGAGTTCATATTGTTGGAGTTATCTTCCCATTGCTCAGTCGGAACTCCAAACAACCGAGAGGTATTGTGTTTTCTAGATGCCTCTCGATGCCGTTTTAGCACCGGACTTTTGTCTCCAAACCCTTACAAGGGTCTCAGAAGCGCCTCAGTTGAGTAGAACATGATCCATAGTTCATGTTGTACTTACCGTTGCCCCACATACAGGTGCTCAACAATTCCCGCAAACGCATTTCAACAACAATTGCGCCGTTCAGTGGCAATTGGTCCTCCAAGGTTCACTATCTCTCCAATTTGGTCCTCCAAGTCTACAAACTCTTCGACTGGTCCTCATGGCTCTCCAACCAAATAAACCAGGATGAACCACATGAAGTAGCTTAGAACCCAAGATAAGTCGCGGTAAGTATGACACAATCTACGGACTGCGTTATCCTCAACCAAGGCACACCAGGGATCCTCCAATTGTTATGGTTCCATACAAGCAATCGACAGATCCTCCAACACATTATCAACATTTTTGAAATAATTTCTTAAAGCAATGAATCCTCTCAACACAAGAAAGAAGTTAGTCAACTCTGATAGTCTTTTAAACAAATACAATACCAAGAAAAAATTCACCATTCTAAGATAAATCAATCAGCTCACACCGGTAATAAACATTAGACTGAGATACTATAAACCACCCAAAAAACATTGAATTAAAAACCATTTCAACAAGCCGATAGCCAAAAACTCATACTGTAGCCTCCTTCTCATCGGCAAAAACTACATAGAATAAAGACATTGCATAAAACTCGATCAAAATCATACACCACCCCACCTCAAATTGATCATGATTCATGATCAACTAGATAGCAAAGAGAACAAAATATACATCATAAAGAAGCTTTTACCATGGCAAACAAACTATAGCAAAACCAAATAATAAAACCACTACACCAGTAAAATACTGAAAATAGCAATTCAAATTGCAATACAAGGCCAATACCAACAGAGTAGCAGTGAACATAAAAACCTGAAGTAATACCCTTGCAATACAACTATTTTCTTCTTATCAGCAAAACAACATAGAATAAAGACATTAAATAAAATTCAAAATCATAGAGAACAGATTATATACAATAAAGAAGCTTTTACTAGGAAAAATAAACTACAGTACAACCAAACAATAAAACCACTAAACAAGCAAAATAGCACTAAGAATTACAGTACAAGGCCAAAACCAGCAGAAAGCATTCAACCTAGAAACCTAAAGCAATTACGAATTTCTGTCATCCATGGCCTCTAATGTCCATCAAGTTTTCAAATTATTCACTAAAATTAGCAGAATAAACTTGGTCATTACTCATTTGTCCCCTTCTTCACTCTATCACTTCGTGGTTTCTTTGCATTTCTCCCACGAATCCTTCACCTCTTCACCTTTTTACTTTTCTTTCATATTTTTTGGTCATTCATCGTCACCCTCAGAATTCATACTCGAATCCGAAATCTCTACATATACATCATGATCGTCATAGAACACTCTAGGAGCAGATTTTTTGGGATTCTTTTCTTTTCCTGCATTCTTGTTGTTAGAGCAAGTAAACATGGGAGAAATAGGTGACCAACTGGGAAAATTACCGCCCATATTCTTACCATTCCCGCAAAATCCTAAGGGATAAAACCCCCAACAGCTGAAATATGTGTCCTTTCCATTCAAAGGAGGTGAAGGTATCGCCACCGCATGGAAAGCTCTCCGGCATTCTTTCGTCTGACACCTTAGTGTATAATCCTCGTACGCCTTTGGATACTCATAGAGAACGTAACAGTAAGGACAAGCCGTCCAGAAAGTCAGTCCCTCTGACCCAGAAGCCTGATTAGGCCGAGTAGAATCGGTCTTCTGAGCAAAATCAGCTGGCTCTGCCCGACTATGCTCCGTAGTGGTAGTTGCAGAAGCAGCAGGAGGAGGAGGAGGTGCAGATGATGTGTGATTAACCTGACTCGTCCGAGTCGGCTCAGTCAGATTAAAGTGACTAGAGCTAGATGTTCCGAACTGATTGACCTGGCTGGCTCGAATAGGCTCAGGCCGATTAATTTGGCTCGCCCGTGTAGTCTCCGGCCAACTAATATGGCTCGAACTTACTGATCCTGTCTGATTCATCTGATTCGGCTCAGCTAGACCTAGCTGATAAATCTGCCTCGTCCAAGCTGACTCACCCGGCCGAGTTGATTCCGGAGGAGCATTATTTAAACCCAACTGCCCTCCTCGTTCTAATTCAGTATTTCCATCTTTATTATTACTCCTAGGGCTTCTCACAAATAGTGATTGCGTAACTTGCGTTTGCGTTTCTTTCTGCGGCGTTTGCATAAATAGCGTTTGCGTTTCTTTGGGAGGAGGAGGCTGCGGTTGCATGAACAGCATCTGCGTTTGCGGTTGCTGGAGTTCCGGTTGCTGCTGATAATGCTGTTGGCCAAGCTGACCGAGTTCATTGAACTGACTCACCTGACCAAACTGAAGGAACCTCAGCTCGTTATCGTAAATGAGCTTCTTGGAAGGATTCGAAAGCACATTCCAAGCTTCGGAAATGAACCGAAACGCCTGATCTGCGAAAGGGAGCGTGTTCTCCGCAGGATTCAAAAGAATGGCGAGTTTCCTGTACTGACTCGCCACCACTTCCACGGACTGAGTTAAGGGAACGAGCTGGAGTATGCCGTACCAATCATGAGGGTTGGCTTGGACGGTCAAGAGAGTGTCTGTCACGGCGAGGATTTGATCGGCGAGGACGGGGGCCGATTCTCGAACTCGAATCGCGAACGTTCTCGTCCCGTGGAAGTCACGTGAAGCGAGGAGCTTCTCCGCTATGGTCAGCCACCGCTCCACCTCCGTAGAGTTACCGTCCATTTCTCTGTCTTTCTCTCTCTAGGGTTTTCAGATTTTCTATCCTTGCTTTTTCTGTATTGCGGGCCGGGAATTATTTTGCTGGTCTGACGGAAAGATACAGACGAAAGTGGGAAATCTTTTCGCGTGGACGATGGAGGACAGTTATTTCACTCAAATCACAAGTGGTTTCAAATGGTTTGAATGGAAATATCAAATGCTGCTATGGATATTATCGCCATTTAAGATTCAAAAGAAACCAGCTTTTTTGGTAAACTTAATGGTAGGCCTAAACTCGAATCAAATTTAATTAGAATTTTTAAAGATGAATTTAAATTTAAGTTTAAAATGAAAAATGTTTAATTTAATACTATATTTAATTTCATGTATTTAAACTCCTCTCTGTATTCTTTCAACTAGATCTTTATTTTATCGAATAATAAATAAATATATATATATATATATAATTACTTCAAAAATATAATTCTTGAAATGTAATATTAACTGATACAATATTTCAGAGGAAATGCTATATTAATTTATTTAGAAAGAACATATTATTCGGATCATGACTCAATCCGACCCTCTGACAGGTTCTGGATCCAACCAACGAGTTAAAATTTTAAAATGGAAATGGAATGATTTACTTGCATTATCTGAACACGACCTCAAATATCTCATGTAATGTGAAAAGGCCTCTACTTTCTATTGAAAACTTGAAGGTTTTAACAATAATTTTGAACCAATTTTTGACAACTTCAGTGGTGATGGAAGGTTCTCGGCAACTTTTAGCTTATACAAAACCATTCATGCGAAAACAAACATAGAATGAACGATCATTTCCGACGAATTCCATGCGGTGAAGGCAAACAAGATCTCGATACAATGGAACAGTGGTGAGAGCAAAGATATGGTGGCACCAACCTGCCCGGAAGGATCTTTCTGGTAGTGCCGAATTAAGGTGAAGAATCGCAACGAACTCTGGATTTGTCGACTTGGGGGTTGCCGGTGATTAGGCGTCTCAACTTTCTGTCATGGTTTAACATGGCACTCACACCCTCGACGACCAATACAATCTGCAAAACAAGGCCAAAGTAAGGGATAGAATCAGTTATCAAATTTCGTTCAAAAAATGGTAAGTTGAAACATTCGCAAAATCGTCCAAAAATATCAAGGAAGCTAATTTGTTTACATTGGAGTTCTATTTTCGACGACCTGATATCAAGTTACACAAAAAAATCAGGAAAAAAAAAACTCACCTGCAAGCAAGCAAGCATAAACCATAGCTGTTGCGAAGTAGAAGTTTGCATTTCCAGTACCCTGTAAATTTCAGCAAGTCAATAGCAGTACTAAGCTACATTATTCAGACTCGTATGTGAGTGTAAGATTCGGGTACATGTCCAATACGGGTTTATTCATCTTTCAGAAGTTTTTCCATGTATTTGGAGTCTTTGGAAGGTCATATCCCCCATACAAGTCTAAATATAGGTCGGACACAGGCTTTGAACATGGGTACCTCAACAAAAATGAAGAGTCGGAGCAACATAAGCGCTAATGAATAATAGATTTCTACTAATTCGACATTAAAAAAGGAAGAGATGTACCCTCCATATCCATAGGTTGTGCATGACCGGGCTTAGAAGAGAAACCCCGACATATCCACAGAAGAGGAAGAGAGAGAATTGCATATCTGTAAGGCAGAAATAAGGCTTAAAATATGAATCAATTATAAATTCCATTCAATATCGGAAAAAGATTCCATTAACTTGCCTGATAATTCGTTAACAAACCAACCCAACAAACCCAAGTACAGTGCTGAATCTCCAACCTAATTGATATTAAAGCACAAAAGGTTAGGAGAACGACCAATCTGATTTTGTAATATTAAGTTGGTCCTGAAACCACTACATTATCGAAGACCGCAGGTATGTGATTGATTTAGCCCATGTCACATATACAAAGTTGATGGTGTTGCATCTCAAATTTTCACAAATTAGTTACGAAGAAAAAAATGGTAAAAACGGAACAACCAAAAGGATATAGTGAGAACATACTGATGGATAGGCTTTAGCATGGAAAATATGGCAACGTATACAAAACCCAAGTATCAAGGTTGGTGATGAAGCCGTATGCCTAATGGCAATATCATAAATAAAGTATTGACATGGAAAAAAACTATCAAAAAGAAGTTCCTGAAAAATTCAAAAACTTCCGCAAAGAAGTACCTGCCATAACATATCAGGGACATGAAACTGTCAGCGAAGATCAGCATAAGATGTATGACAGATAAATTTGAACTCACCATAAGAAACCTATATAGGGAGACAAATCTTCCACAGTGAGGATGAATCCATATGTGCTACAAAACCAGCCACATAGAATGAACAATCAAAATCTTTTATACTACAATCTTGTAAGATAAAATATGGCTTAACTCAAATGCCAAATGACCTAATATTCTGCTCTTAGTTGTGGAAAATCATTGAGGATAAATTTATCAAGCTCCACAAAACTTCTTAGTTTGGTTTCAAATTAAAAGGTTGTTGCCAGCATTCATGATAAATTGTTTCTGGCTACATATAAAGTAGATATTAAGTCCTAGGCCTAGAAAATAAAGAGTCAACTATTACTAAGATGTTTACAATATTGAAAATAAAAAATAAAACTTGAGCAAACTAATTCTTGGGTTAATCGTCAAATTTTACCCTAGCTCAATACAATAAGAAAGAGAAACGTATGGCATTTGATCGTTACCTTTTAAACATCTCCCATAAACCACCAAACTGTTTCAAGGAAATGCCACAAAGAACCAACACATAGACTGACCACACAAGAGACCAAGATGCAAAACGAATGATGGGTCCCCAGGAGAAGCCAGAAGGGAGCTTCAACTGATTCAACATTCCATTTTGTTGGTTCCTTTGCAGAAACAATTTCCTGGGAGGAGCATCTGGACCACGTCCTAATAAAAAGATCACCTGTGAGAAAACTGCACAATGAATATACTTCTTGGAGATTGACTTGAGGAAACTGAACAAGGAAATTCGAAAACTATCTTGTGCATGTTATGCAATTCTATGGATACGGATAGATAAAACAAAAGCGAGGTATACCGGAATGATCAAAATAGCAGGATAAAGAGACAAATGAGTTGAAATGACCCACCCAAAAGCAGCCAAGGGAATTAGTCCTGCAATCCAGAAAGATCATTATTGAGTAGCAAATTATGCGAGAAAGGTATAATATACACCAAATCCATATATATGTTGATACCTGCTAATCCCAACAGAAAAATCCATAGAAAAAAAAATTACCAAATGATGGTCCATATACAAATCCATATACACCACTTTATTCTTGAGAACTGCATTATCTAATATGTATCATTGTTTCATAAGTTATAGCAGAATCAGATACTAAGGGTTTGAATCACCAGAAGCATGAATTTCAATTCTTTGGTTTATAATCATTCTAAAGATTATTAGATAATACAGTTCTCAATAATAAAGTGGTGTATCTCACCCAAGATTTGGAAGAAATCAAGACAAATAGAATAGTGTTCAAAGAAAATTAACATACACATAAAAGCACAGCAATCAACTATCAGGAGGGATATTGCAGCTTTTAAAAGTCTCTTACGTGAACATGCTCCATTAAGGCACAAAATAACAGCCATATTTTCAATTGGCAATGTTGACAAGCCCAAATATGCAACTATTGTGAAAGGATTACATAAGTAGATAAGGGCGGCAACATCCCCCAAAGAGTGGAGCTCTGGTTGAAAAACAATAACTAAGTTCATCAGCTTCGGACAAGAAAAAGAGAGGAATTAACATGCAATTAACTGTAATTACATGAAGAATGCATACGGAAGTCTGTTATTTTCCCTCTTACTAAAACTGCCGAGTAAAGAAGTTACCTGAACCTTCTATTTGTTTAACAAGGTCTAACGATCCCAAAGTACGGAGATAGGCAAGCTGAAGATTCTGTCCAGTAGCACGAATAAGCATTGCACTAACACATCTGCAATCACAGAAACCAAACTGTATCAAAAAATATGTAGGTATTAACTGCATGAGCAAGCAAATACACAATCTTTTAAGAAAATAGAATGCCATGCTCGGAAGTCCATAGAAGAATATATTCTACGTTTTGCCTCAAATAGAATTTTAAAGTTTAAACACTCAAAATTAGTAAAAAAGAAAACATTCTATCTATACAAAAGATGATTAGGTTGTCCTTCAATTCTGAACCAACCAAAAAAAACCAAATTATTAAGTAAATTAAAAAAAAACAATTATAGGTTAACGTCTATCAATGAGCTGAAGGGCACCTCTTAACGGCAAGAGGTCCGAGACGAGACAACAACAAAGGTGAACCATGGTACATAGATCCTGATAAACATGAACCCAGAGAGAAATCAAGTACTTAATATTTTATCGAATTAATACGAAGACTTTTAAAAAATGAAAATGTTGGGCAAAGAAAAAAAAGAGAAAAACCTGCATAAGGAGACATGGGCGACTGCTTTAACCAGTAACCTTCAGCCACTGCAACCAAGAAAAATCAAAAAGGAAAATTAAGCTAAAAAACAAGTACAAAGAAGAGGAAATTGATTTTACACTGAAGGAAACGGAAATTACAGCGGAGTGGAAACTTCGGGACGAGAGGACAGATTGAGGTTTTTGCGGAAGTAAATTGGAATTAATCTGAAGATGATCGAAGCTACCACCCATTTCCAAAACGAAATCGATCCTATTTTCTTCTTCAGCTTTTCCATTTCTCTTTTGGGGTGGGGGGGGGGGGTTCTTCGTCCTCGAATATTCATTTTGAGCCTAAATGGAGAATTGGGCCCGAAGCTCGAAGGTGAAAAATCACGACAAAGGTACTGGGAATTGCCCGATCTCAGTGAAAATGTGGTTTAGATCCGCCATTGAATAGGAATAAGCTCCCTTAGTGTAGACTAGATCTTTGTATCAAATTCTGTGATTCAATAGTGCAGTCTTAATTTCATAAAGAAATCTTAAAAATTAAAAAGTTATATTAATTCAAATTAATTGGTTATTTCAATTTGAGTAAGAATACGATCATCATTTAATCAAGTCAAATTAAAAATTTTAGATTAGTTAAATTGATGAATTTTATTTTATAACACACTAGTATGGTAATAGTCGTCGTATTTAGAAGCTAGCATAATTTAAAATTTGATCTCAAGTTTCCGATTCCGAAAAATGTAAATTTGATGGTCGTGACCTTATCATAAGTGTGTTGTTGACGGCATCTTAAGGCCTTAATGTATGTATATGTTGAGTTCCAAAGAGTTAAGACCTGCTCTCAGGTTTAATGAAGTGGAACGTGGCAGGCAAGCAGTAACAAATGAAGCCCACCATTTATGCAGTAAGAGTTGTTATGTACCCAACTTGAGATCGTATAGTCTCCAACTTCAACACTAACACAATGAACTTCAACAAGCATTGCAGTTGTAATTGTACAATGCAAACCAAGTACAAACAATAACAAGTCAAGATGCAAAAGATTGGAATTGTACATGCCTCTACTCATGCTGAAAATCAAAGTACGCATACCTTCTAACCCCCCAAACTATTTCTTCCCTACAAAAATACCCTCTTTTCACTACATCTGCCAAACCCCACAAATTCATCATTCTTCTGGCAATCATCCATTTCTTTTCCCTAAAGAGAGCAACCATTACAAGGTTCACACAACACACTCTAAACAACCCAACCCTGTACATTCAACAAAACAAGAAAATGGTTCGTATCTAACTTTTAATTTGTTAGCACTGTTAGTAAATCTACCTCATCTAAATTCCCATTCCTCTTGGATTCCCCCCCCCCCACAACACAAAAAAATTGAGCAGACAAGCTCATGCTTCAAACCGAGGCCTTATGACCGAGCATCATCACCGTCAGAATCACTTCCTGAAGAATTGCCCGATCCCGAATCTGCAAAATTAGCATCAATAATTTGAGAGATCTTCCGCAAACGGATTTGACACAATCATTACATATTATGGAATGAAGTAATGGTACCGCTCGAGGACGAAGAACCACTGCTTGAACTGCTGGAGCTGCTTGAACTGCTGCTGGCTCGATCATTATCTTTCTCGATTTCCACTGGTGGGAAACTGCTCATTGGCATTTCGTCCCCAATATCTACGTCTTCGTCTCCAGCATCGCCTTTCTTCATCTTCTTCATCTCCATTTCAACATCCATCTTCTCCCCATTTTCTTCTCTCTGTAATTTTCCATCATTCACAAGTTAGTGTATTAATAAAGATCAGTTTCATAGAAAGCAATTACAATGTGCTTAGTGCTTACTCTATTGCTGTCATTAGATGCAACATTGTTTGCCATCAATGCTTGCCGCTTCATCTTGCTGACCATCTTCTTATAATTAGTGACAAATCGATCCAACTCCCACAGTGTCTCCGTATCCATGGCCTCGATGTCGAGTTCAATCTCATCCCCATCCTGCGTCAAATGTCCATTCCTTTTCCTTATGATATGAACCACATTGTCCATCTTCTCTTGTGGCAAGCTCTGCAATCCAAGCCCCAACTTTTGCTTTTCCTCCATAGTCATTTCCCTCTTATTTGGATCCTTGGCCTTCGGTTTTGGCAGCTTCGCTGGCTTCACTGGTGGTACCCTAACTGGAGAAGCCATCCTTGGCGGCGGCGGCGGCTGCAACTGCATTTGTGCTGGCCGTGGATTTAGGTTTGAAACATAGCCCGAAATCCCAGCAACATTATCAGATCTCGCTGCAATTTTAATTGAATCATCCTTATCTATTTCCCAATCTTTGTTCATCCTCTCAGCTTCCCCATGATCCCAAGAACTTGCTTGCAACTCTTCCTCGTAACACTCCATTTCTTGTGGATATTCTTCCTCCAATTTCAAACTCAACGGCCGGAATAATTCCTCGAATCTCGCAAGAAGCTGCTCAGCCAATGCATAAATCTCGTGCCCCCTTGGATTGTACATCATTGCGTTATTAAAAGTAAGCCTGACATCGGCCGCGAAATCCAAAGGAGACACATAAAATTTCTTAGCCAACCTCGATTTAACTGTGCCCAGATCCATCGGGTTCTTGACTATAGCGTAATAGTCATGAAGACCCAACCCAACGACATCTACCGGTGAATTGAAGATGTAGCCATGTTTATGCTTCATCAATTTGCTCAATATTTGGGAGCAACTTTTCATCAAATAAGCCTCCGATGCTTTTCCATTCTCTTGAGGGTTCAATCTCTTCAATTCTTTGCTGAAATTTGGGTACAAAGGCCGCTTGTTTCCTGAAATGTTCTTTTTGGGTAACGAATTTTTCGTGGAGCTGGATCTAGCCTGAAAATCATTCGACTGGATTCGATTCTTCAATTCACGAATCTGCTCCAACTCGGAAATCAACCGGCACTTTAGATCAATCAACTCCTTCCTCGTATAAGAGCTGATGGGGAAGCTAACGTAATTGCCCGAGCTGAAATCATTTATCTTCCGATTAATTGAAGACGCATCATCAGAAGCCGCCGAATGGGTCAAGGCAGGGGGATCATCGACTACATGGCCTGCAATATCGTCGGGTTGCGCCAATTGATGGTTGAAATGACGTTTCTTGTTGAATTTAGGCTTAGGGTTTGGCTTTTTTGCTGTAAAGGGAACTTTGCCCATTAAAGCGACACTGGTTTTCAGCTGCCGTGGCCAATTTGACTCACTTCGATTCGCCAAAAAGGCCGACGCCATTCAAGTTCCGGGAATCAGCAGGGTTCCGGCGAGGGTCTCGCGATCGCGGCTGACAAACTAGAACCATGAAAACGATCGAGCGTAAACTTCCCGTGCCTCTTAACCAATGTAGCCTATAATTTAAACTGGGGAAAAAACTGAAAATATTTTCTAAAAAATATAAACAATCTACGAGACGATTAGGGTTTAAATTTTTAACCCTAATGAATTTTGATGAGCGACGAACAAGAGGAGGATAAGGTCCCCTCTTAAAGGCGATGAGATCTGCCCGGCTGAATTTCGGGCAGCATTCTGACCATTCGATGGAGTTCTTTTATTGATCCAAGGGACGTTAGAGAATAGTAGGGCGAGGAGAAGTCTGACCAAGTGATCTGGCATGAACGGTTGAGATGGGATTTTTCGACACGTGTAAAAAGCAATACCGTGGATCGGGATCGTATATTTTGGGTTTTAGTTTGGGGTGAATGTGGTGTGAATTTTAGGATTTTTTATGTTCAGAGATGCGGCCCACCGGAGTGATGACGTGGACGAAAAAAAGCCAACATTGGCACGTGTGGGTGTATATATGATAATATTGTGTTTAAGGTCTAATTTTTAATCCGATAAATATGTATTTTGATACATTGGTCTAGTTTTAAGGTGAAATTTGATATTTAAGTCTTTTTTTGGTATTTATAATTTAACGATAATATTACCCTGGGAAATTGTGTTACCTAATTTGTTAATTTTTTGTAAAGTGCAAAGATGAAATTCCAATAAACTAAAGTAAATGTTTAATTTTCATAAAGTAAAGTAAAGCGATAAAATACATAATTACTAGTTAGAGGTATTGTTGTCATGATTTGTTTATCTTTATTACTAAAATAGTCCGTTGTATTAGGAAAACCACTCAATAACTAAAGTGATTATGTATGTGGTAAACTTAGATAACAATAGTAATAAGTTTTAATAAATTATATATAGAGATGATTTAAATGCCGTATAATGTGGTAATAAAACGGGATATCTGAGTTTGGTGTTTTTGGCCCAAAATCAAGCAGACATCTCAGCTTTCTTAAGAGTCAACGAGCGACGATAATAATGTTTCTTTACACATGATTTAAATTTTACTTATAATATAATAATAAAACTATTGACTTTTTCGTTTATATTTTCAGCCGTACGTAATGTTATCTAATTTATGAGTTTTGAGTAGTTTAATATAAAATATCCACCACATAGGATTAAAGGTGACTATTTGATTCACTTGAATAGAGACCCCTTGGAAGATGATATTCCGAATATTTCACGGTGATCAATGTATCGTACAGTAAGTCCAAGGAGTTGTTTGTCGTAGTTATCACCAGCATGAAAAGTGATCGACAAGTCTGGGTTTCAAGAGAGGTGAGAAAAACATATTAAATAATAGGGATAAATTAAAATTTTCTTCCTTTGGGTTTATAAAAGGTTCATAATTAATACTTTGTCTAAAATTTAAGTTAAAAATAAAAAAAAAATCAAATGTTTTTTAACATGGTATGTTATCAAATTAATGACATTCAATTTTTGAGATATTAAAATTTAATAAAACAATAACATAGATGACTAGAACTTAATAATAAAGATGACCAAACTTTAGAACGATAACACTAGGAATCAGAACTTAATTTTTTTTATTTTAATAAATAAAAATGTACAAACATGGAATGTAAGGGGAAATTTATTATGAGATATTGCCTTCCGTAGCAAATTGAAGAATTAATTCCTTCATGGTTCACCTTCCTTCATCTCCTTAGAAGCCTCCCTCCAACATACCAATTTACCAAAAAGCCCTTCGATTTCCTCCAGTGTTTTTCCACGTGTCTCCGGCAGACACACGTAGAAAAACATCCATCCAACGGCGGCGAAGCCGGCGAACAAGAAAAAGGCGCCTCCGATGGTGATCGCATTGTACAATGAAATAAAGGTCATGGAGATGACCCCACTGATCACCCTGTTCACCGCCACTCCTAAGCTCACCCCTTGAGCGCGTAGCCTCAACGGGAAGATCTCTGATACGTAAACGCCGGTTATCGGCCCCATCCCGATTGCAAAAAACGAAACGAAAGCTAAAACCATAATCATGCACAACACGATTGCCCACGTTAGTTTCTCCTCCGATCTGTTGATGATCGTCAGGGAGAACGCCAGCGTCAGCAGGGACCCCACCATGCCTCCGACGCTGCTCAGGAGCAAAACGCGGCGTCCGATTCTATCAAGTAAAACCGTCGCCACCAGGACGAAGACCGTCTTGCAAAATCCGATGGCTATGGTGGCAAGCAGCTTACCGTCCGATGATGTGATCCCTGCTTTTTCAAAAATCCTCGGACTATATACAACGACAGAGGCTACACCGGATGATTGTTGGAAGAAATGGATGCCGACGGCGCAAATTAAGATGTGTCTAACGGCGGGTGTCGGGTGCAATAGTAATTCTTTCCACACCCCTTCTCCGTGGGTTGGCTTTTGGACGATGCCGTCGGCGGTGAAACCTGGGGGGAATCCGGCAGCTTCTTTAATGTCATTGAGTCGAAGTTGAGCTTCCTCTTTGGTTTCGAGGGTTTTTTCAAGCACAATCTTGGCTTCATCAAGTCGACCTTGCATAACCAACCAACGCGGTGACTCTGGCATTGCTAAAACGGAAAAAGCCAAGAGAATTGACGGGATAGCTCCGGCGCCGAGCATCAACCGCCACCCGATGTTTAACGGTAGCTTTGAAAATGCATAGTTCAAAATGTAACCCAATAATATCCCGCTATTAATACACACCTACAGATAAAATTAAATCTTGATTACAATCTCTATATATATAAATATTGTGCCTAAAGGTTTGGATTAATAATAAACATTTGATATGAATTTAATATATTTTAACCTGGTTCCATCTTATAAAATTAATTTTATTTTTAAAAAATTTAAATCAAATCCTATCAAACTTTTCTAATAAATGAAATTAAATCAAGTATAAGTTTAAAGTAAAAATACTCAACTCGAGACAATATAGAATTACCTCAGGGAATGAGGTGAGAAATCCTCGAGAAGAAGCAGGGGAAATTTCGGCAGTATAAAGAACAGCACTCATAAGGGCAAAGCCGACGCCAATACCGGTGACGAATCGACCGAACATAAGCAAAGCGTAATTGATCGAGAAACCCATGAGGAGAGATCCGACGAAGATAATGATATTAGCCAACGCTATGGTATATCTACGACCAATTACATCGGCGATTTTTCCGGCGACAATCGAACCGATTAGGCAATACAAGCTGAGTACACCGACGAGGATTTCAATCTGAACGTCGCTGATTTTCAAGTCCTCTTTTATGAACATTATAGCTCCACTCATCACTCCTATATCTATTTTCATGCAAAATTTAGACTGAAATCGTCACTAAAAAGTTACCCAAAAAGAGCTTAAAAATGAATTTTTTTTTACTTACCATAACCGAGTAACATGGAAGTTAAGGAAGCAAGTACAGCACAAGCAAAAGCAAACTTGTTCATCCTAGGTTTCTTTGAAACCTCAAAATCCGCTACCACAACGGCCGGCCGACTCGAAACGACGCCGGTTTCGGGTCCGGACTCAGCCATGATTGTAACCTCCGCAAAGAAAGAAATTTATCCAAGTATGCAATTGAACAGATTAAGAACGAAAAGCAGAGGTTGCAACAAATTTGGACATTATTGTCGTCATTACACCTAACACTCCTCCCAAGTCCAAGAAGAACAGTCTTCGTTGAATTTTACACACCATGGCGTGTACTAAAAGAGAAACCATAGCCATTAAAACATGTGTGGAAAAAGCCTTCAAACAACCAATCAAAACAAAGAATTAGACCACACACAAATTGGTGTTTTGTTTCAAAATAGCGTAAGACAAAACACCACTTGCTGGCTCAACTGGGTTCTTTGTCCCATCTTTGTACATGATCTCATGCATGATCTAACATCTCTTATCCCTTTATCCTAACACATTAAATTGGATCTCTAATTATTTGTATAAATCTTTCTATATCCTATAATCATATAAACTTTAATTATATAAAAAAATATTAAATGCTTATTTTTAACAAAAACAAAATTAGACGTCAAAAGTAAATTTTAGATATAGTTTAAGTACTTATTTTTGTATTAAGCATTTATATTACCATGACTTTTAATCACTGGAATTAAGAGGGCTTATCAAGGGAGTTGATCGCGAGTTGGGTAGCGCTCAATTCGTGATCGTTAAAAAAATTTTGTTACTCCATTCATCTCGTTAAGGTCTCGAGTTGAACTCGAGCTCAAGTTAATTCGAATCGAGATTTTATCGAATTTTGACCAAATCGAATTCAAAATACTCACGAATTGCTCAACTAATTAAGCAACAAGAATCAAAACTTTAAACATCCCAACATTATCGAATGCATTTTCTCCCAATTTATCACGACATACGTATTTACTAAATTATCCTTGGATTCACTATCAAGCCTTAGGTGTTATATTATTTTCTAATTGGATCTGACCGTTACTCCTTCCGTCACCGTCAACTTCCTTCATCTTCATCCTCTTTGCCTCTTCCCTCCAACCCACCAATTTACCGAAAAGTCCATCCATTTCCTCGAGTGTTCTCCTTCCCGTCTTCGGAAAGAATGCGCAGAAAAAGCAAAACGCCACTACTTCCGCCCCGTTGTACAAGAAGAAGGCTCCACCGATGGTAATCGCTTTGTACAATGAATGAAAGTCATCGAGATTAAACCGCTGGTCCCGCCGTTAACCGTCACTCCCATGCTCGCCCCTTGCGCCCGCAGTCTCAACGGGAGGATCTCCGTGCTGTAAACCCACGTAACGGGTCCCATCCGGCCGATCGAGAAAACAGCGACATACAAAACCATTGCGATGCATAGTCCGACCGCCCACGTCACCTTGATCTGGTCGGATAGGTCGATTACTGTTAACGAAAGTCCCAATGCAGCTAATGAAATCACGATGCCGGCGGCGCTACTGAGGAGCAAAGGACGCCGTCCGATTTTGTCTAGAATGAAAGTAGCCACTAATATGAAAATCGTCTTGACGAATCCGACTGCCACGGTGGGGAGTAGCTTATGGTTTGATGATGTGATCCCGGCTTTTTCAAAAATCCTCGGACTATACAAAACAATGGAGTCTAAGCCTATCGCTTGTTGGAAGAAATGGATTCCGACGACACAAATCAAGACGTGCCTAACAGACTGCGTGGGGTGTAAAAGTAATTCTCTCCAGACGCATTCCCCGTGGGTTTGCTTTCGGACGTGAACGAGGTCGTCAGTGCAATCTTGTGGGATTCCGGCGGCATCTTTGATGTCAGTGAGTCGAAGCTGAGCTTCTTCTTTGGTGTCGGAAGTTCGCTCAAGAACAGTCTTGGCTTCACCGATTCGACCCTGCATAACCAGCCAACGAGGCTATTCCGGCATTATGAAACCACCGATAGCCAAGAAAACCGACGGGACTGCGCCGACGCCGAGCATTACCCTCCACACCAAGTCGGTTCGCAGCTTCAAAAACGCATAGTTCGAAACATATCACAATAATATACCAATATTAATGAAAACCTTCAAACAAAAAATGTTACATTAGATTTCGATTGAATTTTAATTCAATATTATAAAACTGAACCGTTATTATCCCTACATTATGTTAAACCAAGATGAAATGAAGAGAGAAAGAGAGAGGGAATAATTCAAAGGTTTTAAGACCTCGGGGAATGAGGTGAGAAATCCACAAGAGGAAGCGGGGGAGACTTCGGCAGTGTAAACAGGAGCAATCATAAGTGCAAAGCCGACGCCATTGTTTATTTTAGGTTTCTGTGGAGGCTCGAAATCCGCTAGGGTTTTGTTCTCGGCTGCCGTTGAAACTGAAACGCCATTGTTATCTGCTTCAAACCCAGACATATTTCTTTGTTAGAATAGCAGATTCTAATATTGGAATTATAAAAGATTCAAGCTACGACAGTGGAAGCCATATTGAGTCTCAGAGGTTTGATTTTTAGAGAGATATTGTTGTGAAAGATAAAAAGCTTGCTATAAATAGAAACAAAAATGTTAACATCAACGTGGAATATTATAAACACCCATAAACAAATATGTTAGCCGCCATGTGATTTATAGGAATTCCTAGAATTTAGAGTACACACTTTTATCTAATTAAATGTAGGGGTGTGCAAAAAAATCCGATCCGACTAATCCGATCCGTTGATCTGATCCGAAAATTCGGATATCCGATCCGTTTTTCAATTTTCGGATAATTCGGATCGGGTATCCGAAATTTTTTTCGGATTATCGGATCGGATACGGATCGGTAAAAAACTATTTTCGGATTATCCGAAAACCCGAAAAAATTTAGGGATATTTTCTTTATATCCATTAAACATGCTCGTTCTGGTTTCAACATACTGGTTTACTCGATCTGGTTTTCACTATGCGTCCAGAGAGGTGGAGAAAGCTTAGACCAGCTCTATCATCGTGCTACATCTTCATTACAGAGAATTAGTCAGAAACACACAGGTATATACTGTCATTTTTTAACAATCCGTCCAAGTTTTACCCGACAGGACATGTTTCTGGTTCGAATATTATGAATTGTTGCCTGTTTCCCGATATGTTAGGAAAGCGAGTCGTTGTGGTGACTCATGGAGGTGTCATAAGGGCACTATATAGGCGGGCTTGCTCGACAAGGTTCCGGGGAAGTATACTAAATACTTCTGTGAACATATTTCATATATCTGGTGATGGTGTGTGGACCATAAAAGCTTGGGGTGATGTCACTCATCTTCACCAAACATGACAGTATTCCATGTCTGGTTTTGGGGTTAACAAAGCATCATCTGCGGTTACTTCTGTTGTCACTTGAATAAATCAACAATGTCTTTGAAACTTATTAGGGATTAAAGAATGTCTTACGTGGGATACTTCTAAGAGTATTCTTTAATTGATATAATAGTTGTATGTATCGGTTATTTTATTGCTTGTTTACTGAATATATTTTATTGTTTGTTTACAGAATATGTCATCTTTTGATGAGAATAGAGATTTTAATTCCGTATTTGTTGATTCGATGATGGAGTCTGATGAGGGGAAAACAAAATTCAGCAGTAAAAAAAACTTTTGTCGATAAAAAAGCAGGCAAATATGAATATTTTAATTCCTGTTACTTTTTTTTTGAATTTTTTTGCAAAAAAAAAAATCGGATTCGGATCTGGATATTCGGATATTCGATCCGAATTTTCGGATATCCGATTTTTTCGGATCCGATACGGATCATTACTTTTGGTATCCGAAATTTTTGGATATCCAAAAATTCGGATCGGATAATATCCGATATCCGATAATGCACACCCCTAATTAAATGTTATGTATGTTATTCAAGTTTAGAATTCAAAGTTTTAAATTTAAAAGGATTTAATGTTTAAAAAATTATTTGATATATATTTGTTTTTTTTATTAATATAGGGTTAAGTATAAGGTAATATATGTTTAAAGATAAATTCTAAACCTTTCGACATTGATCGTTCACAACCTTGGCATCTATGATATTCGATCCCAGTCCTCATAAATAACAACAATTCTTTTACCATGGAGGCGACTGAGTTGGATAAATTATTTAAGTTTAGAATTCAAGGTTTTAAGTTTAAAAGTTTAAGATTACTCTCATTCTTTCCCCAATCCCTCTTTTACATTCACTCTCAATAAGACTATGATTAAATTTAGACTTCATAAAAAATTACACAATTTTATCATTTGTATTATTTATGGTTTAAGTTTAAAAATTTAAAGTTAGTTTTTAGAGTTTAGCATTAAAATAAGTAGAGTTTTATAAATTAAATTTTACACTATCAAATAATTCTTCTTAATGTTTAAGGTTTAAAATTTGAAATTTTAGTACTCGAAATTAAAGTATATAAATTTGTGAAGTTTAATTTTTAAAAGCATATTTATCGAATAATTTCTCAAATATATTAGGACTTCTCAATTCAACTGATTTAAAATTATTTTACTCTATTCAATTTAATTAAATACTCATTTTTAATTTATACAACAAAATCTTAAACCAGAATTTATATAAAAGAATAAAGATAAGTGTAGATTCTTACTATAAACTTATGGCTAAATTATGAGTTTAATACTTAAACTATCAGTTTTGGTCCATTTTAGTACATAAACTTTCAACTTTTTAAATCATACTTAAATTTTAGTTTTTGTTTCATTTTAGTACTCTCAAAATTTAACGTTAAGTTTTGAAAATAAATGAAAGTTTAGGTATTAAAATGAATCAAAATTGATAGTTTAGGTACTAAACTCGTGAAATTTTTAATGGCGGGTACTAAATGGAAAAAAAACTAAACGTAAGGTATGATTTTGAAAACATTAAAAGTTTAGATACTAAAACAGATCAAAATTGATAGTTTAGATACTAATTGCGTAGTTTACCCTAATTTAATTCTAATAAATCTACAATATTCAAGTCATATTTAAATTAATTCCTTCTTAAATATTTAATTTAATTAAATAATTAATTACTTATTGGTGAAAACGCCATACTTACCAAGATTTAAATAATAATAAAAACTTTAAAGTAAAAACCTACGTATTCATATAAAATTATGGACAGCTAAAAGATACAATTCTTAAGTAGAATCAATATGAAATAAAAATGTATACAAAATAATTATGTAGAGTAAAACTTAACTCCATCTGACAATTTGT